AGCCTGATTCTCTCTCGTTCAGTCATCTGAGCGCACGCGCGCTTTGCCATCATTGGCTTGGACTACAATCTTGATCTAACAGAAGTGTAGGACCACACATTTGACGTATCCGATTTTCTCAGTCTTACCGGTAAATTATGGAAATCAGTACTTCACAATAACCGGCGCCGACTTATTGTGAAACCGGGGTGGACTCACAATAGCTCGGCGCGACTTTTTGTGAAACCGGGGTGGACTCACAATAACTCGGCGCGACTTTTTGTGAAGCCTGGGCTGACTCATATTAACTCGACGCGACTTATCGTGAAACCGAAATGGGCTCACAGTAATCCGTGGCAAAGCCGTCTACCTACAAGGTATCACGCCTAGAGCTGAAAGGACGCGATGTTTGCTCTTTGGACCAGTTCCGTCACCTTGATGGTGCTTATTGGAATAACATTCAGCTGATAATGAATATCCTCGACTTGAACTAATGCTATCTGACGCATTCATGATATCATATCGAAGTCTTGCTGGCGGAGAAAGGCTTATCACAAAGAGTAGACATTAAATTAACGAGGAGGCTCCGTTCACTTTACGAGTGAGGCATATGTCGAGCGGAGATGATCATGAACAAGCTCGGCGATGTTGTCGCCGTCACTGACAGCAATCGTCTGTAAAACACCTTCTGGCGACAGCATAATATAGTGTAATGCGGTGCCGCCATCTCCATTTAATGTATGATACAGGGAGCAACGCGTTTAACTACAGTTTATATATAAAGCGTATAAACTATTCAGACTGTCAGACGTATTATATTATCGGTAGTATTGCTACAGACGTCTGTCACAGCTATTGAGCGATATGGCTGCTAGAATTACAGTTACACGATGTACATCGTACATCTCGACGCTTCATCTGCACAATATTCGACATATCGTCAGGCAAAAGTGGGTCTATTTTTTTTAATGAACCTGGATTACTCGTGCAGTTATATCTCGTGCGAGCCGCTAATATTTACACTAACGCTAGCGCGGGTCCGTTGTGAATAGACCGTCCACGTTTTGGCTCACTCGCTGCAACAGCTTCCGTGATCTGATTCTCCAACGTCTTCCTCTTGGTATGCCGTCTCCAGTTAAACATTGTCCGTTTCCCTGGCTGGTCGGTGCCGAAGCGCACGTATAAAGCGAAGAGAAGGTGAACACAATATCTTTTGTGGAAAAGGTATTTGCACGGGCAGCTCCGGTTGATCACATCAACAGGTCAACCTGCTTCGGGCTGCTCGACACGTTCCATTCTAGCCCCGTTTGCTCCGAGTTGCACAGCAGCATCCACAGCTTCCACAGTTTTTTTCTTCGGTCTTACGAAAATTCTAGGAGTTGTCTTTAAGATGACTAGCACGTAATCGTCGAGTACGTCAGTACACGGTGATTCAACGAGGAGGTTCTGGCGACGCAATGCTGTTGCACAATGTCGAAGTCTGTCGCTAGCTTTGGGCTTCTCCTTAACTGGAGCTGGCGATATACTTTCCATCCGGCAACAGTGTTGCAGTTGGCCAAGCAGAAGTCCCATCAGCATGCGCTCCCTTAGCGTGTATGTATTTTTTAACTTGGCATTTAATGTTTCCACTGGGTTATTTGTAGCTGCCCATCCGACTGGCGTACGATAACATTGCCCCTTCACGGATTTACCATTCAGCCACTGCTTGTGAAAATAATTGCCAATCGTTCTGTTTCGGGATCCGCAATCCACCGCCTCACAGCTGACGTCTCCTTAGCATAGAATTCCGATGCAGTTTTTGCATAGAGCATATCAAATATGTCGGCTACTACGAGACTACGCTTGCCTGGGTGGATGTAGTTAGATCTCTCGTAAACTTTAGCGATAACATGATAGAAGCACATCAAAATATCCAACTCGCAATCCTCAAACACGGATGTTATGGCATTGTACTGGGCTCCGTCCGCATCCCCTAAGACGTATCGTACTAGCACGGGTTTCTCGAGAGCACGAGCGTAGATTGATCGTAGAGAGACAAGAGCAGACGTGTAATAGTGTTTCCCTTGCTGGAACGCAACAAATAGGGCAACTGAGTGAAAGCATCGAGCATGACCTGAGATTTCACAGACAAAGACCGGGTAATCCACTTGGTTCAACTTGTGTGCTGCATCAAAAAGAAAAATGAAGCTGTTCGGATCACGATCAAGGCGCTTTAGAAGCGTTTTTGCTGTAAAACCGATAAAAAAATACGTTATTGTTGGTACCGTCACCAACGGCTATCTGTCCACGTAAATCCACCTCACACGAAAATGCAAACGCAGTGCTATCTTCTTCTAGTCCGGTGTAGAAATGCAAACGCAGTGCTATCTTCTTCTAGTCCGGTGTAGGCCTTTCCTTTGACTATTTTCTCCACAATTTCCTTCCCGTCGGTGTTGTTCAAATCAGTCTTGCGGCAATATGTCACAAAGTTTGCACTTTGTCGAGATGCGATATTCTATCCTCTGGCGTGCCTACAGACAGCGCATTCCGAATTCTTGCGGGCTTCAGGCCATTAACTGTCATCTGGCGCGCAGTTTGCTTTTGCTCACATGTTAGACTTCCAGTAGGTCGATAATTGTCTCCAACTTCATGGGAACCAATCTAGTAAATGTTCGTCAAACTGCTACAAATGAGCATTTTGCACTTCTATAGGCATTTCAGCGGTGCGACACACGCAGCTGCTCATGTTGTCGAAACACAGAACAGAACCCGATTCCGCATGGTGTGGGGTGAAGAATCTGTACACACTGTGCAGATTGACGTGTTGCTGACGGTAACGGTGTGTCCCGTTACATGCTTCATATTTTCTAGTATGCGCTGGCCTTCGAGCTCCCCCACCGGGCGGTGAAGAAAAACCCAGGGGGTGCCTTTCCCATTTTAGAGTGCGTATGTGACACGAATACGATCAGTTTCCTCTCAACAGAGTGTGAATAGCGTTATTTATCCGTTCAGTCGTAGCAAAACCAACGTAAGGGGGAGTGGACGGTCCACATGCCGTTGAGGCACACGAGCTCTGCAAGAGGGCAACCAACTTTGGTTTGAGAGAGCAGAACGCGTAATGGGCTTGTTCAGCATGCAGAATGTGTGGTAGCTGCAAGAGGTTTGTTGTTGGACGTTGATTGGGAGGGGAGCACTACCACCTGTGGTGGTAGTGTTCCCCTGTGACCACGGACACGCTAGGCCTTCGTCTATTTATAACCAATCACGCTGTGACACATATCCAAGCTGTGATTAGCCTAAACTAGATCTAGCTAAGGTTCCGACATCTGGTGGATTAATTTGTCCTACGAGCTGTTTATATTTACAAGACGTTGTGGACAGCGTTTGCACATCTGTGGATTAACCCCATCGATGTGGATTACCACCATAATCTGTGGAGATTTTAGGCGTCCTCCCTATCTGACCGGTGGGGGGTGACCCTGGTCAGCGCCAACTGTTTCAATTGTCCCGAACTCCATTTCCCTCACTGTTGATTAGTAATACTCAGGGGTTAATGGTAACTCCAAAACCGCTGAAGTTAATATTGTGAAAATATCACCTGTAGACCAATTAATATAAAAAATATAACCTTTTTTCTTCTGAGACAAAATGATATTATTAATTATTAACTTAATATTAGTTAATACGATATTATTTTTTTCAAAGATTGCGCAATCGGCTTAAATTCACAACCAGATGTCGTTAACGCTCGACTACCGTCTTACCCCGCACAAAGCGCCCAGGCGTACTAAAAAATATTATGATGTGGTTTAGAACAGTGTGTAACCTCGATTACAACGTAAAGTAGAATACAAGGACACACCGCGGGAAGGGTTCTATTAAATTAATGAACTCTAAGCCAATGCTTTTAGAACGACTCTAATACATGAAGAAATCTACTCTCCACCAATTCTTTTATTGTAGTTGAGACCATCAACGCTCAACTGCTCATTCTAAATATATCTGAGAAGCTTTGACATATCTTTTGTGTGCGGGGCATTACATGTACCTCTTCCCTGATGGGTCTGTAACAGGTTGATGACGTGGTCTACCGAAGATCTTCCGGAAGAGTGTACGTTGGCACGTAGCCAGCTTCAACGTGGAAAGGGTGTGACCAAAGGGTGGAAGGAGCCCAACGGATTCAACGGACACACGGTTAGGACGGAGATCGCAGACGGCGAGCCGTCGCGACCGGTGGCGTTAGACGGCAGGAAGAGCAAGGAGGTGGGTACTCCGGAATTTGCAAAGGATGGGACAGGTAGATCGAGGAGTGTGACGAGAGACGAAAGACGGTCGAGGGCTGGAAGTACAGTCAGCGACAAGACAAAGACGAACGAAAGGGCTGTTGGGGCACAGAGTGTGGCTGACAGAACGTACGGGGTTGTGGTGAACGCACTGCAGTACCGTGAAACGAAGGACAAGTAGGATCCAAGGAGGAGAACGTACGGACAAGCGGAGCGACGTACGGTGAGACCAGACAGGGGAAGTAGAGTACCTGAGTTCGCTGTGGTGGCCGCGCACGAGTAGGGTAGGCGCCGTGGGCGTACGCCCAAGTGGCTTGGAGATTGAGCGTGATCTGGATCGCATCGGGACGTCACGGTGCTTCGGCGAGGACGTGGGTGATCTGACTGGAGACTATCTGTTCAGGGACGAAGAAGGAAGAACGAAAACGAAGAACGAATCTCTATTAGCTTACGTAAGGTTAGCTAAGGAGAAGGAATACAAAAAGTAGGAGCCAAAGGTTCCGGCACAGGGCTCAGTGGAGCATCTGCTGGCCAGTGACGTCTTCGAGTACTATCAAGTAACAACTACGGACTAGAGACAGACAGCGCAGCAGGCACATAAACTAAGCGATTTGCCCAGCGAGTCGGGCAGGAGGAATAGCAACTCGTTACATGGTGGTCATACAGGGGCTATCTCAGAGCAACGAAGAGAGTTCAGAAAGACAGGAAAGCAAACGGGCTAGTGGTTACGCTGGGTTACGAAGGTTACGGGGTACGAAAATGGTTACTGCTGCGACAGTCACTACTCTAAGTAAGAAAGCGCAGAAGGCGCGGCGAGTCAGGAAGGCCGGCGAAGAAAGTTCACTCAGCAGCACGGACTCCGAGTCTGGGCGTCCGGTGACGAGGAGCCAAGGCGTACGGAAGGTGGCCGTCCCGGTATCCCCACGAAAGAGAGTGGACAAGCGGCAAGCAGCCGAGCAAGCGGTGGAACAGGCGGAAGCGAAGCCGGTGAAGATCAAACGGAGAGCGTCGGCGAATCAGCAGCGATAGGCCTCGAAGAATAAGGATGCCAAGGAACTCGGACGGGTCATAGCCACTGATGAGAAGGACTGCACGCGGAGCCGCGAAGCGGAGAAGAGTGGTGAAGACGCGGCAGGAATGCAAAGTAAGGATACGATGGGCATGGCAGCCACAATGCAGCGACTGACGAGGGCAGTAGCCGAGCTACAAGCGTCAACCAAGGAGGTCCATGGAGCTGACAAGGAAGGACGACATGGACATGCACGTGGGAAGTACCGACGCCGTGCACAGAGAGTGCGTCGTGTGCCCAGTGATGATGGAGAGCCCGATGAACAAAGCAATGATGAGGACCAACATGGTGCTGAATTGATGGCCAGTACCGCCGTGAGTGGCGGCACTGCACCAAACAACCACGTGGACATGACAGCGATGGCGTCCGCCATTCAGACGTTGACGATCGTGGTCGCGAAGCTGCAGCCTGCTCCTTCGAGAACCCAGAGGTTCCAAGCTGGTCGACGGGTATTGCGACGCAGTGGATCACGTGCTGGTGAAGCGCGTCACAAGGGTGATAGTGGAGACAGTGGTTCGTCGGACTGGAGTACTCCTGATGACAACGATAGTGGAGTCGACTACAGCGGGGTGAATCCAGATGGCGACGGCAGTAGCGGAGACGACAGTAGCGAGCCGAGTGAAAGTTCTAGCGCCTCCAGTGATGGGTCAGCCGAGTCTGATGAGCAACGAGGGCGTCAGGAAAGCCGACGACGACATGGAAGGCATGGGCGACATGTACGAGGAGAACGACGGAGGCGTCAAGTCCAACGGGGACGACATGGAGACGATGAAAGACAATCCCGTCGCAGGAGCGTGAAGGACCTAGTGTTGCCGACCTTCACCCCCTCGCCAAAGGTCTCTGTCTCGACGTGGATAGACAGGGTGGACTTAGCCTTGAAGAGAGCCGCTAAGTCTGGACGTGGGAAATGGTCAGACCATGCGTTGTATTTTATCTTTGGAAACAAACTTATGGACAATACCGCACGCTGGTGGGTGAATATGGATCGACGATTGCCATCACGTGACCGGACATGGGCCTACTTAAAGAAAGCACTTTTACGACGCTATGGTGAGAGACTGGATAAATCGGCAGCAGAATGGCGTGTGAACATGCGCAGGATGATGCCTGGAGAGACGTACTCTGATTTCGCGGCAGCATTGCGAGATGTGGTTGGTCGTAACAAAGTCAGTGAACGCATTCTATTGGCGCAGTTTTACAGAAACCTGGATAAGACTACGAAGAAATTGGTGAAACAACGACCGAAGCCTGCAACCTTGAAAGAGGCTGTAGATAAAGCCAATGAAATCGACGATCCCATGGATAATGTGGCGCAGGGCATGCTGAACATAGGACAGCCGTGGGCCATAGCCCCAAGTCCTTATCTGGTACCAGTTGGTGGCACAACCGGCCAAACGTTAGTGATTCCGGGGATTGGCGGAACAGGATTGCCAGCAGAGTTGCAAGTCGCGAATGAAGGTGGAATGACAGCTGCGGAGGAAGAGCATGGCACATTAGCCCTCTTTACGAGCCCACAAGGCGTATGGAACGAGTATTCAGGCACGTGGGATGTGCCATCGGGTCGCATATGGAACGGCAAGTTCTGGTATGAATCCAAGAAAGCCAGCCGGAAACGCTCTGTCGAGAATGCAGCCAGAAGCTCACGGAAAGAAACAAAGAAGCCAGCGAAGGCGCAGAAGACGAGAGTGAACCGCCGACATCGAGCAGCGACGAGTCAGATGTGAAACCGCAGCGCAAGAAACAGAAAGCCGTTGTACGACAAGCAGCAGTACCTCGACAAGAGCAACGAAGTGGTAGTACACAGCCACCAGGGAAGCCAAGAGTACCGCAGAATCCACAAGCATGCTGGAAGTGTGGCAAGAGTGGACACTGGGCAGCACAGTGCCCAACGGGACCCAAATGCTACGCATGTAATCAGTACGGTCATATGGCCAAGGAATGCACCGATGCCGAAGCTAAGGCCAAGAACGAGGAGAATCTACGGAAGCGTAAGACCGACGACAAGGTGGCGGGAAACGCGAAACCGGCGCAGTAGAGGGGTTACGGCGACCGGAGAATAACGACCCCCGGCTGATGATGAGTGCAGATGGCTAAGGTAGTGCGACAAGAGCTCAAGGAATGACGATAAACACCAACGTGACAACGGAGTCAGCGGAGATGAAGCAAAACGGGATACAGCAAGGAAGGTCGACCGAGTGTGAAGTTCGACAGCAGAACCGGAAGTTAAAGGAAGACCAAAGATCGGGAGACGCCACTAACGGAAATGACATACAAGAGGTAACGAAGCCGATGGCAACAAGTGGCGCGAACTCGCTGGAGGAAATGTGGCAGTGTATGGCTACCGAGGCAGCCGGGAAGGACAGTGAGCGGGCAGCTTGCTATGTAGCAACAGTACGTCCAGCGATGACGGACATGCGGTATGCATGCTTGGACGCTACGCGACCGAAAGACGGCGTCGAGAAAGTTGGCTCCGACAACAATGTGCGTGGATCTGAGGAAGGCGTCGGCATGGAGACCGATCTGACACCTGAGAATCTGGAGTATGGCACGGGTGATGACGATAAAGTGAGCAAAGACATCGCCAGGGTGCGGGTGGCCAGGAAATCGGCCTGTAATCAGAAGAAACGACAGCGAGTGAAGCGTGCGTTGGAGAAGCGACGTACCGCCGACCAAGAGAACAAACGGCAACAAGCCAATAAAGTTGAACTACAGCAAGACCGCCAACGACAAGTCGAAGACGCAGTTCAACAACTGGAGGAACGTCGACAAGGACGGAATGAAGAGGGCGAACCAGGTAGAGGCGGACGAGCACGAGTTAGCCTCGTACAACGATGCAGTACCGAAGGAGCCGAAAGCAAGGTATCTGACGTGGAAGCTAACGACGGACTACCTACAGCACGAATGAAGGTCGACGATGTAACAAAGTACGTGAAGCTTGACAGTGGAGCCAGGTTCACAATCGCTGGCACGAGTTGGGTGAAGTACGGAGACAGAGTGTCGTGCTCAGCACCAGTGGATTATGTCGAAGGAATAGGAGGATTCCTACTAGACGTTCTAGGAGTATGGCGTTTCCAGTTGGAGAACGTGTTTGGCGACACCGTGTGCGTGGATGCATGCATAGTCAAGGGTTGCTATAACGAATTCCTAGTTGGTGTGGACTTCATGAACGATCACGGCGCTGTTATGGATTTTCGGACCAATGAGCTGAAATATAAGAAGGACGTTCGGTAGTAATACCGTTCAAGACTAGTGACGCTGCAAAAGGTGTGAAGGTTGCGGCAGTGCGCATGGCGCGAAAAACCCAAGTTCGTGGAGGTACAGTAATGCCCATAGAGATTGCGGTGACAGGCGAGGATGGGGAGAAAGGCATCTTCATACCCACAGTTCGTCTGGGATCCATCTTGTTGGCTACGACAGTGACGGAAGTACGAGACGGAAAGGCAGTGGTGCCCGCCATTAATGCAAGTGGTGGTAGGGTCAAGCTTCCTTCAAAGAAAGAATTAGGGACGTGGATTCCTATCGAGGAAAATGTGGAAGTCCTCGAAATGAATGGCGTCTTACAACGCGATCAATTGCTGGGATGGTTGCGTGAATTGGGAGATGGAGAGACTCCGTTGGAAAATGAGGACGAGCTACAAATAGGCATCGAAGACGAAGGCGGGCGAGAGCTCATGAAACGTTTGTTGAGGGTATATAGAAAACAAGTAGCGGACAAAGGTGACTGCCCACCTGCTACTACACTCGACGTGGGGCATCAAATAGAGACGGGCGACGAGGCCCCTATTCTGTTAAAACGCAGACGACTTGCACAAATGGAAGACACTGTGGTCGAGACGAATGTCAAGAAGATGTTGGGTGCAGGCGTAATTGAAGAAGGTAACGGCGCTTGGGGGTTTCCTGTAGTGCTGGTAAGAAAGAAAGACGGCGAGATTCGCTTTTGTGTGGACTATCGAGCTCTGAACAAAATAACGAGGAAGGATGTCTACCCCTTACCAAGAATTGATGAAACCTTGGAAGCATTGGGTGGAGCAGTCTTATTTACGACTCTAGATTTAAGATCTGGGTACTGGCAAATTCGAGTGGCAGCTAAAGACAAAGAGAAGACTGCTTTTACGACAAAACAAGGCCTATATCAGTTTGTTAGAATGCCTTTTGGGCTTACGAATGCTCCATCAACGTTCCAGAGAATGATGAATAGTGTTCTACGAGGTCTGGCGTGGATCACCTGCTTAGTCTACCTGGATGACATCGTAATCTACACTCGCGGTGGGTCGAACGGCATGTGTTGGGAGTCGCTTGTGTATTGAAGTGTTTGGCAGCCGCTGGGCCTACACTACGACTAAAGAAATGCCGATTCGCGACTGAAAGTATGGAGTACCTGAGACACGAACTCAGTTCTAAAGGCGTTCGACCACTCGATAGGTTGGTGACTGCGGTACGGGAATTTCCACGACCTACTGATGCTGTGGAAGTTAAACGTTTCGTACATCTTGCTGGTTATTATAGACGATTTGTGGAAGGGTTTGGCGCATTGATGGCTCCAATGACCAAGCTTCTGCGAAAAGATGCTGAATGGGAGTGGACGGAGGCGCAAGAAGCAGCATTTGAGCATGTTAAAGTCGTTTTAACTCGCAAGCCGCTGCTGGCTTACCCGAATTTTCGACTACCGTTTAGAGTGGTTACTGATGCTAGCAAGGTTGGTCTCGGCGCATGCCTTACGCAAGATCAAGGCAAGGGCTGGCAACCAGTGGCATTTGCAAGTAAAGTGAATAGCAACACGGAAGCAAATTATGGAATCACAGAACTGGAGTGTCTTGCAGTAGTTTGGTCGATCAAGTTGTTTAGACCTTACCTCTATGGAAGACGATTTGTGATCGTCACCGATCATGCAGCACTCAAATGGTTAATGACAAGCACAAACCTAACCGGAAAATTGCATCGCTGGGCTCTTACGCTCCAAGAGTACGATTTTGAGGTGGAATATCGTCCTGGCAATACCAACGTGGTAGCAGATGCGCTATCTCGCGCTCCGGTAAACGTGTTGGCAGCAGCTGGTCGGAAGAGACGAGGACGACGACGCACATTCAGTGAAAGGCACTCTGATTTTCACAAGATGCGGAGTAAGGACGGTAACAGGAAGCAATATAACGACGGCGCTAGAGGCACAACTGAAGAAGGCGCGAACGATGCCGAGGTGACCGTGGCACCACCGATCAACATGGATGGGACACGAACGATGGCTCACGACGGCGAGGCAACAGGCCAAGACTCGACGAAAGTACGGCCAGAACTGATGGCAACGGCGAAGATTGTGGCACCACTGAGGGCCTCGAGACAGCCAGTGCCGCCGGATTCGTCAAGACCGATGACAAGAGCGAACAGAAGGCGTCAGGAGGACGTAGAGCGCAATGCACGCGAAAAGATGACAGCCGAGGACAAGAACGTCGATGAAGCGACGACGGCGGGCAAGACCTCATGCGTGGACGACGTCACAGAAGATTTGGACGACAGTAACGAAAGACAGAACGAGTTGAGCAGGACGGCCGAGACCAAGGACGACAAAAACACGAAGAAGCCAAAACGACGTGCTACGTGGGCTATGGACGATGTCGAGAGTAGGACGAACATGACGGCAACGGAAGGCGAGAAGGTGATGCCGCCAGTCGGGGCACCACGACGAACGGCAGTGAGCAACCATCGGAATCGTGTTCGGACTGAAGAAGGCGAGTTACGTGAGCAACCAGAACTTACCGAGTCTGCTGTACATGCAGGACACACACTACAGCAAGAACGAGGAC